AATCTCTAACATTCTGTGATTCTGTGGGTGGTACGCCCTTTGGTATAAGGATTATGTAGTTATGTGTTATATTGTAATAGGAAGTTATTACAGTATATGTATTATGTGCCTTGTTAAAGTGTTGTATTAGGTCATGAGAGCATGTGATTTAAAAAAGTCTAGTTCAGTGCTAGACTCCAGTTTCCACATAGCAGACAAAATTACATTTTTTTTTAATTGAAACAACCAGTCATAGTATAGCTTATTAATCTCTTTTCTATAATTTGCACATGATAATGGATTAATGCCTTTCACTTTTAGGTGCTGGAGATCAGAATTTATTTACATCCTTATATCCTACACTTTCTCAGCAGCTTCCTAGAGAACCCATGGAATGGAGGAGGTAAAGTTATATTTTATTCTGTGATACTATTTCAGTGTGTTTTTTTAGGCTTCGGAGAGTGTGTATTTGTTGTGCTCTGAGAAGCTTTTACCATAAATTGAGTTGAATATAGCAACTGACTTGATGAAAGGAGAATTTAGATAATCAAGGTAAAAGTTCTACACTTTAGGATGATCATTTCCACACTACGGCTATGTTGAACTTCACCTAAAGGAAAATCATAGTAATGCTGTATTTCTCTTTTTGTTTTTGTGGTTTGTGAGTTTGTCTTGGTGTGTACTTTGTGCTTTGACAGCCATGTTCTGAAAGTGATGTGCTTTCTTCTTAATGAGGATATAGGTAGAACTTATGTGGAATTAGATGTACTCTGCTACAAAAAGTTTGGTATGGTATACTGTCTTCTGATTGGAAAAAAAATAGTTTGGGAATTTTCTTACTTGGAATTTTTTTACTTTTAGAGGTCCTAGAGATAGAGAAAATCTTTTAATGGAAGCTGAAAAGCTTCTAGCTCCTGTTCTTGCGAAAAGGAGCACCTATCTCATATCAAGTGATACCAAATTTTAGTTAACTTTATACAAACCTCAGTAACCATAGTTTCTGAGTTTCTGATATGAGTATTTTGGTTTATTCCTCTTCCCCAAAATACATCTTCATTTTTGTGTTCTGCTATGTATGTCTTATCCACTTTGCAGGTCTTATGGCCGTGCTCCGAAGATGATTCATCTAGAATCTAACTTTGTTCAGTTTAAAGAAGAGCTACTACCCAAGGAGGGGAATAAGGCCCTTTTGACTTTTCCCTTTCTTCATATTTATTGGACAGAATGTTGTGTAAGTATTGGGAAAACATAATGAAAATCTGAGTACTCAGATTTAAAAATGAAATGTTTTGGCTTTTTGCTTGTGCTCTCTGGTATTTTTCATTTGCTTTTTGTACTTATTTGAACAATTCAGCCTGTGTTGCATAACCATGCATATCCAATATATTGGAAAGGAACTTAGTCAGCTTGAGTACTTTTTACCATAAACTGTATTTCTTTGTAATGTTGCTTGACGCTAAGAGGACAGGCTTTTGAATAACCTATTTTCAGTACTTTGTCACCAAAAAACCCGAGATCTAACAGTATTACTGCAGTAGAAGAGTACGCTTGCTTCATAATACAGGAATGTGGCTAGGTTATTTCTGTTCCGATCTATCTATTCACAAGGTTAAATCTTAAGATACATTTTTTTCTTTAGTTCGTCTTCCGTACGTGTCAAGTATAAGTACACATCAGCAGTCGAAACTGGGCAAGATTTGGAATGTCTTAATCTTGTTTATCTATAGTTTACTGCTTTTGTTGGTTGGCCGCTGTTACACATTAATTTTCCAGTTGAAGGGTAAAGGTGACATCTGATCTGTGACCAATCCAAAAGTATCTAGAACATCCTTAAGAGTTGTCTGAATTGATCTGTTTAAAACCAACCCAGAAGCCAAAAAAAGTGCCAAGCAAGACTTCTGTTTTTTTTTTTAATTTTTATGAAAAAGCTTTTAAACAGTTTAAGATTTGAGCAGTGTTAGAAGGCACAAATGTCACACTTCTGTTACTATTTGAGAATAAACCCGCTGAGCTTTGTAATGTCAAAAATGTTTTTATTGTACAGTTCAAGAGTGTGTAAAGTAAGAGTTTAAATTATGTTTAAAAATCTTCATTTCAGTAATCGAATGATAATGTACTAGATACTAAGATATAGTTACTGTTAACGAAATACTAGAAGTAAATTAATTTAAAGGACCAACATCTTATTATACTTTGCCTCATTTGATTTCTTCCAGTAAGTGAACTTATTGCCACTAAGATATGCCTTTGTGTTTGTCTTCTGTTGGAAAAAAATTGCCTTTTGAAATTGTTCAGAATGTCTGACTTGATGATTCACCACTTCTCATCCCAGGACACAGAAGTGTACAAAACTACAGTCAAGGATGATATCACCAAGTGGCAGAATGTTCTCAAAGCTCACAACTCAGTGGACTGGCTAATTGTGGTAGTTGAGAGTGATGCCAAGAAAAAGAACAAAACAAATATCCTTCCCCGAACCTCTATAGTAGATAAAATAAGAAATGACTTCTGTAACAAACAAAGTGACAGGTAAGCATTCTTTCACTTGCAAACATTTTAACCTTTGACTAGTGTGATGATTTGAAAACTCAGCTCCCTGTGTAACAGGTTCATGTCCAGCATTCAAACTGATGATACTGTAAGACCTACGCTTTGAAGAAGACTGACACAAGCAGTAAAGGAAGAAGCTTATTTTCAGTTCTTCCTGGATTTGTGGTGGCATTGAAGTGTGTTTGAAAAAACTTTCAAGAATCTCCTCCTGGCTAAGAGAAGTTTAAGGGGAACAGTGTGGTAATAAGTTTTTAGAACTTCAGGGTTTTTTGTTTGCTTAAGTGTTTGCAAAAATGTTATCAGAATTACAGGTAGGGGGAGTGAGGTGAGAAGGGAAAATGAAGCCAGTAGGACTTATTTTTTACCATTGTATTTTCTGCCTTTCACTTAAATCACCTTTCTGCTATGAGATAATTGACTTAAAGCCAGTTTCTTCAGATGTTTTCATTCTAAGGAAAATAACAATGAGTGTATGAAACCATTTCTCCTTTAATTAAAAAGTCAACAAAATACACAAATCTCAGTTTGAAACCAACTTTAATAGCTACTGTCTTCCTTGTTCTGAAACACTGCACTGAATCTATTATATGTGATGTTTTCTTCTTTTAACCTTAGGAGTTAACTTTAAATGGGAGATTTTCCTTCTAAAAATGAGTGACAGGATAAACATTTGAAGTTGAAAAGGTTATATGGAAGCACTCATTGTACCTTGGTGTAAGCTGACAGTGACTGGCAGGTCAGAATGTTGTGACACCCAGTAGGTTGACAGCACTTTCTTTGTACCTAGGCGGTGTTTAATATGTTACAGGATTATTTGGGCAAATAGTTTGAACAACTCTGATTCAGTTTGCTTTTTGTTTTTAACTGTTTGATTGGCTTGGTTTAATCATTTTGACATAGGCTAGGATGACTTTTCTAACCAGAAATGGTGTTTTACTTCGATGAGAGATTTTCCTGCCTTCAGAGATATCAGTAGTTTTTTTTAATGTTACTAAATTGTGACAGAAAAACTGAGGAAAGAAAATACTCTAAAAAAGGCTGATTTATTTGTGAATTAATGGGATCTGTTTATTTATTTTCTGAGAAAAGCAGTGGAAGTTTTAGCACATGGGATGTGTAAAAACAAGTTGAGATACTGAAAGAATATATTATGGAGGGTTATTTTAGGTGGCGTAGGAAAGGCTGACTATATGTGATCTAATGGATCTTGATTTTTATCTTGCATAATCCTTGCCAGGAGTAACTATAATTACTGTTCTGCGGATTGTATTGCTAAGCAGACTTTTTTAACTTGGATACCTTCAGCATTACTTATGTTTAAGTAATTGGAATAATGTATCCATTATTTGCTTCAAAAAAAGTAAAGCTTTGTAGTACTCATTTTGTGGAAAACATTTAACTGTTTCCCGTGAGCTACATCACAGACTTAGACATACATGTAAAAGTTTCTTTAAAAAAAAAAAAAATCACCAAAACCCAATATCACAGACTTAGACATACTGTAAAAGTTTCTTTAAAAAAAAAAAAAAAATCACCAAAACCCAACCAACCAAACCCCAATATGCACCCCACCCCCTATCCCCCCCACCAAACAAATATAACCCTCAACCTTGGCTTTTTCCCCTGATTATGTTGAATTAAAAAGTAGATTTTGCTCTGAATCTTTCAGGTATGCACAGTATTCAGTGGTGCATTTGTATGTGAATTTTATGTTCACCTCCTCAAAAATAATTCCCATCAATTTCTTCACAGATGTGTGGTACTTTCTGACCCTTTGAAAGACTCTTCCCGTTCTCAGGAATCTTGGAATGCCTTCCTGACCAAACTCAGGACATTGCTTCTCATGTCTTTTACCAAAAACTTAGGCAAGTTTGAAGATGACATGAGAACTTTGAGAGAGAAAAGAACTGAGCCAGGGTGGAGCTTCTGTGAGTATTTCATGGTCCAGGTAAGAGTCTCTTTTTATTGAAGAAAGTCTTTGAGTCCTACTTTTAATAATGGCTTTTTTTTGTTATACTTGGCTTTCTGGTACTTTTAATGGTCTTCTCATTCTTTGAGAGTTGGGGCAGGAAATATGAAGACTTGTATAAAAGCAGCATTTTTAGATCTTGTTTGCAGCAGGTTTGTTGCATTGTAATACAGTGCTATTACAGAAGCAGAATCTTTTCAGGCTTGTCAAAGTTTTATGAACGTTGACTGAATCAAACATTGCACCTAGAAAGCGTTTTAGTAGTTGATCTTCAATTTTGGGTAAATGTCCCAATGGCATCCACTGTGCCTGTGCAGACACCCAAACTTGTAATTTATATTTATACAAATATTGCTCTGCTTTCTTTGCTTAGATTATGTATGAATGGAGGTGATTTATAGAGAAGTGTCTATTTGGAAGTAGTCCACATAGAGAATGGCCTTGAATTCCATTTTTTTTTATATTTCTAGATATGGCTTTGTTTTAGCTGATACAGAGAAAAGCAAGAAACTCTTGTTTGACAGAATTAAAGGTTTTGATTCCTTTGGAATTTTCTGGTCCCTGTACAGTGCCATTCTCCACACTGATTCCACCTTATCTTTGTGTCTCCTTTGACTTCATGTGCTACCTCTTGCATATGCTGTATCTGATTCTCAGATTTTTTTCAACTTGACAATTTTTGCTCCCTTCTCTTTGTAAAACTGACCCTTTATCAATACTGCTCCTAGTGCCTTCATAGTGTAAACAGAGGGGGGGAAAAAAGTTGTAGCTATTATGGGAGATGAGTTGTTTTTCTTTTCGAAACTTGAACTTTTTTAACGTGTGTGAGCAATATCTTGTAGTGAATCAGGATGTGGATACACAGCAGAACTTACTGGCATACCTGTATGACTTACTCCTTTGTGAACCTCCCTATGTTATGAAGAAATGGTACATCTGCTACAATGGCAGTTTCCTATATATGTGAATACTGGAAGAGGAAAAATGTTGTTCCCAGAGTGTTATGTGTGGATGAGGGCAGGCTGGAATACCAGACATGACTAATGTCAGTAACATGCTGCTTGTATTGCTTGTGTGTCAAAAGGAAGAACTGGCCTTTGTCTTTGAGATGCTGCAGCAATTTGAGGATGCACTAGTGCAGTATGATGAACTGGATGCCTTGTTTTCTCAATATGTTGTTAACTTTGGAGCTGGTGGTAAGTGTCTTTAAAATGTTAAATGTTAAGCGTATTAATTTGTTCACTACATTTCCCCTAAAACAACCGAATGCTTTGGGTACCATATGTGTATATGGGAAAAAAAGATGGAACTTTGCAGTGAAGATGCACTAGGCAGTTCGTGCTCCTTGTTTTATGTTATATGCAAACTCAAAAATACATCAGTTATATTCTATTAAAGTATTGTTTTTCATCTGAGGCTTAGAAGTAATTTTTAATGAAAACCTGCATTTTGCTCTTATTCAATGATTGTTACAAACAGAGCCCTGAAACTATAATTACCTAAGTATCTATCTGGCTAGGATACAGTTGCTGTTTTCACAGCTCACTGTGAAGTTGTTCAATAAAGAGCTTCCTGGAAAAATGCATTCAGTTCAAATTACATGAGACATTTGGTAATCACTAAAAACCTGTACAGAAGTATGTGCTTAATCTGCACTAAAAAAGATTTAACTTTCTCGTCAAGAAAAATTACTGTGCAAGAAGTATTATATAATTTTAAAGTGGCTTAATGAGCTAAAGCATATGTTATGTAACAGCTTTAATCAGGTATGTGTGATGAATCTGGTAAAAAATATAGTGCAGGAGTAATTGCAGTGAAATATATTTGTCCTGACTGAACCTGATGCTATACCTGAAAGTGTGGGCACATCTGTCAATGAAGGCTGAGTAAGAAATACTTAAATTGATAAAACCTGTTTGTTTTGAACTTCAGGTAAGCTTGATTGCTGAGAAATAAATTGATTACCACTATACTAGTAACAATTATGCAATTATGACAAAATGCCCATGGAGTTTAAATGTTAAAATTCAGTTGACTTAGCTGTGGAAGTTCTGCTGGTTTTTTTGTTTTGCTTTTAAAGTTAAAACATTAGGTCATTTATGCATAGGATAAACTTTAGAAAGAGAGCGCCAGCTTACAGCCTCTGGAGGGAGGAAGAACAGGCCTTGATAGAAAGCAGTGGTTGATTCTTGGATATTAACTTTATTTACTTAGATGGTGCAAACTGGCTGACATTTTTTTGCCAGCCAGTGAGGAGCTGGAATGGTTTAATTCTCCGAAAACCAATAGACATGGAGAAGAGAGAGCTAATTCAGAATCAAGAAGCTACTCTACTGGACTTGCGTAGTTACCTATTTTCTCGCCAGTGCACGTTACTAATCTTCCTGCAGAGACCATGGGAGGTTTCCCAGCGAGCGTTGGAGCTTCTTCACAACTGTGTGCAAGAACTCAAGCTATTAGAAGTGAGTCAGTGTAATATATTCCATTATGTAAATGATTTTATCCAATGATGATCTAACAAGATATTTGAAGTTTAGATGTTGGTGACCAGAATACAGGAAACGCTGGCTGTTAGTTATCCAAAATTATGCTGTAATAACAGATTGTAACAGTGCTATAGTTGAATGTTTCATCATGAGGATGTATTTTATTTGGAAAGAAATTTGGAGACATCACAATTGAAACCCAAACCTGTGTTTTAGTTAAAGTATTCTAGTCTTCACCTGGAAAGTTAACTTCTTAAGCTGGTAGGTAATTTGCCTGCTTCTTTCCTGGATTAATTACCAGTGTCTTGAACTATAGTTTCCGTCATTTAAATCTCTAACAGTGTTGTATTGAAGAAAATAAGGCAGAGTGGTTAATATGCTGATATGCAGGCTAGTAGTCTGTAATGAAAAGCTGTTTTGAACTAGAAACAGTATCTACAGTAGGACTTCTTACTGCCATGCACATTGAATGCTGCTTAGATCGCTTTTTGTGGTTCTTGCTTTGTAATCCCTTTTGGTGCCCAGTAATGCTCTTCTATGTTATGCACATGTCTCTGACTATCTCATCCAATGATGGAAGAAAGAGACAGAAACAAGTGAAGGCGCTCAAATCTTTTTGTCATGTTGCATGACTTAATGTTTTACACCTCCTCCCTCCATACTTCAGTTTCTGCTGGTATTTTTTTAACCCTTTGAAAAAGCTTTATCAGGGATGTTGTACATTGATCATTCTCCATGTATGACCATGGATGTCTATGAATTGAAATACATCTTTAAGAACAATGTAGTGTACTTGAGAATATTTCTGGATTTCACTTTGTGACTCATCCATGTCCTTAATCCCATGGGTGTCTGGTTCTCTGTTAGTTTTATCTGTGTTATTCTAGCAGTAGCTTCTAACTTTTGCCTGTCTGGCATTGTCATAGTAAGTTCCATTAGTTCCACCTGTTCATCTGCATTTAAAAACAGAAAACCTGTTGCTGACACCTTAATGTATTCTGAAACTAACATGTAATTCCCATATATAGTATATTTTGCAAGTATGTTTTGTGGTTGTGGTTTTCTTTCCAAATTTTCCAAAATAAATAAATACATCCAGCCTTCTAAATCTCTCAAGGTACTTCCTGCTGTTCCCCTTTTGCTCCACCCCAGGTCTGTCCGGTGCCTCCAGTGTCTGCAGCTTTTCTCTGCTCCATCTCTTTATTTCTGCTGTTTCTGTCTTGGTGTGGTGATCCAAGCTGAGTGCAGGTGTTCAGGCTGTGAGACAGTAATTTGCGTGTATCATGTAGTTATCCCTATTGTGATCCATTTTCTTAATGCAGGCAAACCTCTTAATGTGGCTTGATACCACTGAACACATAGCACAAATATAAAATACTATGTTTTTTCTCTTCCTGAAAATTCTTTCAGAATTCGGATCTTGATTTTTTTTTTTCAAATGCATTATGCTTGCAAGTTGAACTTTCCTGTCACAGTAGTTGGTTACCTAGTTTATTATGGGTTTCAAGATTTTCATAGTCTTTCTAAAATGAATATTTTTTGCATTGTTTATGAACAAGATTTTGAGACACCATTGTTGTGGTCTTCTTGGTCCTGTTTTTCTGTTCTTCTTTCTGTGTGTGGGTTTTTGTTTGTTTGTTTATTGGTTTGTTTTTATTTCCATTCTTTAATTAGTTGTCCATGTCAGGGGCCTTATCCTTCAATTAACAAAGCACTAGTATCTATTTAGTCCTGTTTTCCTTCTCTTTCATTTTGCTGAATATATCAAATCTAGTTAATATAATCACTGTTTAGTTGCTTAGCTGTCCTTGTTTCATGAACTAATATATAAATTATTCAGGAGGTAGTAAGAGTTGGCCTGTTTTATGTATTCTTAGAGTAAGCTCTTTAAAGAGGCTCTGCTATGTTGTATGAAGAAAAGTATTTTGCTGAAGTATTTTCTCATCTGACTAATGTTTATTTCCCAGTTGATTTTATCTGTTCATCTTCAGGTCTCTGTTCCTCCTGGAGCTTTGGATTGTTGGGTGTTTTTGAGCTGTTTAGAAGTCTTACAAAGAATAGAAGGCTGCTGTGATAGGGCTCAAATGGATGCAAACGTTTCCCACACAGTTGGCTTATGGAGCTATGCCACTGAGAAGGTGAGCAAATGTGTTGCAGTTGTGGTATTACAATTTTGAAGCAGACAATTTGTTTCTGTGGAACAGATTTTGCACTTTTTATTGTGGAATTTAATATGGGCTTCTGTATGTTGTCTTTAGTCTAGATGAGACATCCAGGTTTATATCCACTTTTTCTACTGGCAGATCAAGCCTGGGAATAACTAGAGTGGGTTCACCTCTTTGTCTATCCCCACCACTCCCTCACCACTAGTTTGGTAACAATTGGCTGCTTAAACTCTAGAATGAATGCAGCCCATGTGGACTGAGAGAAGGAGCATGAATTTCAGTTATAGCATGAGAAGCTGCGCAGGTTTGGATGCTTTTACCATTATAAATAGAGATTGCAGCAATCTGTTGACGTAGTTCATTATTCCTGCAGTATGCTCGTATGGTAGTAATAGGCCCCTAACTTCACTGAAGATGTTACCTTTCATGGCTTGTGAAAGACTCAATAAGTAGTAATCTGCAGTTTTTCAGTTAGCACCCCTTACCATCAGGTAAAAGCTGTGAAGTGGCCTTTACAGTTTGGTTAAGTCCCTTCCCTAATTATGCAGCTGCCTTTTCAAATTCTTCTTATTCTGTTTCTATGAAAGAGTTGGTGTCTAAGGTTGCTACTGCTTTCCACTGTTGAAAAACAGTTTAGAAAGATGACGAACTCCAGAAACTACTGAAATAGCATCCTGTGATCTTCATGGATGTTTTTGAAGGCCAGCATAAGCTCATCCTCTTGTTTGCGTAGCCTGTAGAATATTTTCTATTTATTTTAATCATAGTGTGTTTATATTTCAGTAGACTTAAATCCTGTAACTTGACCCTAGGAGGTCTTTGTCTTATTACAAAAGCCTAGAAAGATAATTTCACCTTGAAGAGTTACTGTTAAAAAAAAAAAAAAAAAGAGGGAGAAGATCAGAATAAAGGAAACAGAATTGTTTCAAGTGCTGTTGGGTGCATCAGGTTCTTCCCATGCTCACTGCATGTTTCTATGGATGGTATGTTCCCTCCTGTTCATAACTCTTCTAACACAAAGTGTAAAGGGAAAAATTGTAGGATAATGAGCAGCAGTAAGGTGGATCAGACTGAATGAAAGAAATTTAGCAACTAGTGACAAAATTAAGTGGAATATATTAAAAAAAAAAGTTAATGGCTATCCCCCTTTTATATTTTTCTTTTGTGAGCTTACCTTGGTACTTGATTGAGTAATACTAAATGAATTAACCAAATGAATAACAGAACTGAACTTCTTTAAGACAATACCCTCTCCTGACTTCTGGATATCAAGCATACTAGCTGCTGTCTAGAAAGGGTTTTATGGTAGTTGTGTGACACTGGTTTTGCACCGTTAGCTATGCTAATCATCTCTTTTTCAAGAAGGTTTTAATCTGAATACAGTACTTTGGGTGAATTTGCAAGCTTGTCCAATCATCAGTGTATTGGAGAATGCCTGCATTTCTTGATCACATAGTTTTCAAAAATACAGACACCGTTATTAGAAATAATCTTTGGCAATAACTGCCAAACATCTCAAGCTTTGTCCATGTTTATATGGAAAAGAGAGAGATTTATTCTGATTAGGTGTTATGCACGTAGGGTCATGAGTGTATATGCATGTGTTCCAATGTTATTTGAGCCAGTAACTTATATGCAGTTTAATTCTTAACAAAATTAATTTCTACTGTGAGAATAACAGTTACTTTTGAAAGGTTCTCTACTTTGTTCCTATGAAACAACTTTAGCACAGATCTTAGAAGCAATATAATATGACAGCAGTGGAAATGTATTGTAGGAATGATGTAATAGAATAAAAGGAGTTTTGTATTTATTTCATAGCCTATTGAAAACAAGTGTCTGGTTTCTCTTGTAGTTAAAATCTCTGGGTTATCTGTGTGGACTTGTGTCAGAGAAGGGACCCAACTCAGAAGACCTTAACAGGACTGTTGATCTGTTAGCAGGGTTGGGAGCAGAACGCCCTGAAACAGGTATTACCGGGAATGTACGCATTCTTTCTAGTAACTCACATTGTCTTAAATATATAGCATATAAATATATCAGTAATAATAATTGGCAAATATCCCTACATATATATAAACATTGGTGATAGAACTCTATTATGTCTTACAAGTTTTTTTTAATGTGTGTCTAGTACTTTAAATTATCAATGCATCTCCTTGCTGTTGCAAGTGTAAGTTTTTTCCATCAATGTACTATCTATCAGTATTTAGGTAAAATAGTCTTGAACAGTACTGGTTTTGAATAAAGTTTTTAATACTTTCAGACAAGTATTAAAATTATTTGAAAAAGAAATGGAGCATCCTTGATCTGATGTGAATAGATAACCTGCAGCTGGAGCTATGAAGTGATATTATTTGAGTGGCTGAACAACCAAACTTATTTAGTCCTTGCGGATTTTATCACTTGCGAAGATTATTTCTGAAGGGAAGAAGCTTTTAGATGTTAAACATGCTAGAAAAATTAGTATCTTTGAAGCATTAGTTGACAGGCTGATGCTTCACTTGCTCTTGATTCTTAATTCAGTGCTATGGTGCCCGTTGTATTTATTTAAAATGGGGGCTTTTCTCTTCTAGAAATATTGATGTGTATTTAGTCTGGCAAAAACTTTTAAATTGAGTAAGCTGCTTCAGAAGAAACTTGCTAATAATTTTCCTTTGAAGTACATTGTTTAAAGTAGTAACATTTCTTTAAATTACGGTATGCTTCTGTCATGCTGATTTATAAATCCAGCAGTGGGAGTTGTGAGACTATTACTCTTGGCATAATATGGTATTTATGTACAGTTGTGTGTGTTTCTAGGTTGAATAAATGTTATGAAATACTGTGTGGAGAAGTTAGTATGGTTACTATATTGCTGCTTGCCTTTACCCTGCTACCCTGAACATCACTCACATGTGCATGCACACACAGACTTGTGAAACAGCCTTTCTTGATCTTGTTTTAGAGCCTGGGGAAGAAACTTATGATCTGTCCAAACGTTAGTGATGTTTCCCACATAAAATTAGTTTTAAGTTTTCTCTCTACCTTCTACTGAACAAAAAGGGGAGGGGGATGTTATTAAAATAGGAATGCATTTGTAAGTGACATCTCTTGTTCTGCTTTTTCTAAAGCCAATGCATCACAGAGCCCTTATAAGAAACTCAAAGAGGCCTTATCATCTGTAGAAGCTTTTGAAAAACACTACTTAGTACGTATGAGTTCTGTTTATTTATATTAGTTTTGTGTGTTTACATTATAGGTTGAATAGGGCTAAAATTTTCAAACCTCAGAAGATAAGATTGAGAATGTAAATTGTATTTCTGTATTTTGGTATCGAGGGTTAGTGCTTACACGCTGAACACAGCAAGGCTGATTTGTTTTACAACTGGAAACCTGTATGGGCCCCAAGTTTCAAATATTTGGATTGACTTAAATATTTACAATTATAAGTTGGAGGTTATTATCTGTAAGTATGTATACTTAGTTATTAAAAAAGCCAGTGTTATGGCTATCATATTCTGCTTTCCCAAATTCAGAATTAATTGAATCTTCCCCAGAAGAATATTGATGTCTGAATTCAGCTTCCTTTTGAATGGTTTAGACTTGCATCTTGCAGTGGGTGTTACATGGTTTAAGTTATACTGTTGAATTTGATATATAAACTGTGGGACATCTGTGGATAATAGGGTTGGAGCTGGCATAGATTGGAACGTTAGAATTCTTATCGTGCTTTATTATGCATGTTTACTTCCTGACAGCTCCCTTATTGAGGAGCCCTTGTGATGATCTTTTGTTTTGTTTTGGTTTGTTGGGTTTTGGTGTTTCTGGTTTTTTTTATAAAAGACTTTTAAATAAAACAAACCCCTGACTGTCGCAAGAGTGGGCTTGGTTTTGGGGGGTTTGGTTTGTTTGTTTTTTTTTTTTTTCTTAAATAATTTTCCTCTGAAATTTCTTATACTTGCAGTACTGCCATTAAAGTTTTTGGGGAAAAGTTGGAGGAAAACTGAGCAATTTTTTTTTTTTTTAATCTGAAGACTAGGTGGTACTTATTTTTACAAAGTTTTATTGAAAGAAACAGTCTCAAAAGATTTCATCTGAAGATACCAGCTTTTGTTTTTATACTTCATTTCTTCATAAGACTAGTTGGATGGCTGGACTAAAACTAAAATCTTCAGAATTGCTAGCTGCTCTTACATATTCAGTTCTAACTTGCACCTGAAGATCTCTGCTAAATTCAGCAGTATCTTCCTAAATTTAAGAAACTAAGTGGGATCTGCAGAGTTTGCCAATGACAGAATTGTCATTCCTGTTTGTATTCTGACTGTACTCTTATGCAACAGAAATTTACATGTTAGATACACTATAAAAGATTTCTATGTAGTTGTCACAAAAAATATACAATTTATATATACCCGTATTTATCCATATATTCAGTGGAGAGGAACACAGAATTAGTTAAAATTTCCAGACACAGCTACAATAATTTATTTGCATTTAAAATGTTAATGAGTCTGGAAAGTAAAATGCAGCTTTTCAAGATGTTGAAAGCAAGTAGTAATGAGCTTTTATTACTGGAAAAGGCTTTGTTCTCATTCAATGGTTAGTCTCATGCAACAACTTCAGAATCTTTTGTAAGACTGTCAAATCTTCCACAAATGTGTTTATCTTGTACCTTAATTTTGGGGGAAGGTAGCTTTTAATTTGTATGCTTAGCTGGTGTCTAAGACCTCTCTAATTATAGTGATCTGTTAAGGAGTGATCATTTAGTTTATTGTAGGATATTGTTGTGAGTTCTTAATTAAAGACCAAAGTGATTTTTCTAGGTTCCCCATAAGAAACATAAAAAAATGGGCTTTGGGAGCTCATTTGAGGTAATTTTCCTGCCCCATAGGAATAGATGCTTTCTGACAGATACTCTGCAAAATATTTAGGCAGTTGGAAGCTCTTAGGCAATTTGCTTTGAAGGATAGAGTAGTTCTTAATACACTAAGTGAAGGAGAATGAGCTTCTGTGGAAGGTTTCTGACAGAAGATGCTGTGGGTTTGTAAATATGATGTGAAATGTTTTTATGTATCTGGCCAGAGATTATTAGATACTTGAGGAAAAAAGTTTGGTGGTGATATACAGTGTGTGTTGTAACTGCTAATTTTGTGAGAAAGATTTGTCATTGTTATTACAACCCTAGGGCAAGGTGAGGAAGGTGACACACACAGACAGTGAGTGCAGCTGCAATGGAAATTAAGCTTAAAGATGACAGAGAAACTTCAATTTTGGATTGCATAGCTTCAAGCAAAATTCCTTTAGGGCACTCTTTTGAAAACACTCCGATTGTAACTTAGCGTTTTGCATTTAATTGCATGTTTACGTACTGCAAACTTTCATATACTTAATTGTATCACATGCAGCTTTAGTGAAGACATGTACCAGCCTCTGTATGTAGTTAATTTGAGTTTGAAGTATTAATTGTGAGTCTCTGGGGAAAGCTCTAATATTGTTCCACATATGTTATGCTGTGGTGTATACTGGCATGATATACTACATAATCCTGCAATGATAATATAATAGCCTATAGTTACTGAGAAATAGGTGCTTTCAAAAAAAGACAGGAGGATTCAAGTGTAAAGAAGTGCTTGAAACTGCATCTCATCTATTATTTTGGTGGTTTTGAGTTGCCTTATCTAATTTTTAGTAGGCTTTTTTCTTCTGCTATTTATAACACAGATAGGGGATAATGACCAACTGTAGGAGAAGTGAATATGACCTGTTACAAACCACTCTATATTGCGTGCTGGGAGCAAGGGGAAATCTAAAAAGTGACTAATTCTGGTCATTTTGTTGTAGTAACTTAGTTACTGGCTATGAGTTTGTGAAATATCATATAGCTACAAAAATATATATATATAAAGCTTATAATAGTTTCTTTTCTTTTAAACAGGATCTGTCCCATGCCACCATTGAAATGTACACAAATATTGGAAGAATTCGCTCAGCTAAGCTTGTGGGAAAGGACTTGGCAGAGTTTTATATGTAAATGAATGTTTAAAATGTCTTAAATGCTTTAGCTTTGAAAAGTTTGAATATAATCTTTGAGGAAAATCTGCTTTATTTAAAAAGGATTTTTTGAAGTATTTTTAAAAATGTAGACATAACCCAAGTTTCAGGCTGTATTTCAGTCAAAAAAAAACCCCCACCACCAGCAGCAGTCTCTTTATAGCAAACCCTAATTCTCACTTAATTATCTAGTACTCTTACCTTTAACTATCCTATGTTCTTTAGCTTGATCCTTTCTTCTCCTAGGGAGAAAAGGGCAACCAGGTGGGCAGAGGAAAGAGATAACTTTGCATTTACTATAGCCTGCTTTGTAATGTGGCTTCTGACTTGCTTCAAAGTTTATAGTTGTCTTAACTACATATGTGTGTATATATATATATATGTAAGAAAAGCCAGAAAACATGTTCTTTGGAGAGTAATCAGTTTCATATTTGAGTTTATGATTGCAAAATGTTTCCTGCATTGTGAAACTCACAATGATTTTATTCCTAATTTCCAAAATATGTTTTTGTGTTTATCCCTGTTTTTAAACTCCTGCATTAGTTTTCTATTTCATTATATTTTTCTTATTTAGAAGAATTGGGGAGTCATAAGTGATTTTTTTGGGAAAACACGTTTGGGCATGCTTCTTGCATATGTTCAGTAAAGGAGTCTGATTTTCTGGCTGCAACAGGTTCTCTTAAATTAACTTAAATTTTCATCTGAGGGAATAATGTTAGGTTTAAAGACTACTGTGAAACTGCAGTGTAGTGATAAAATGATATTTTCACTGAAGCATTTTCCTGCTTCAAAATGTTGAGTAAGTGTGTTTTTTAGTTAACTGTCAGAAGCTTGAGATGGGTTTTGTTGCATTTGTGGGAGGGGGCTTCACCTTGCTTGCTCTGACTGGGGTTAGATATGTATATGAAGCCTTTAATTGATGTGGTACATTTACACTAGTTGCAGCTCTGCTTGCTTAAGTGAATCATATAAAGGTAGGCCAACGTGTTGATCTGTTACAGCAAAATAAAGAGCATAATGGTTCCCTGCATCTTGTTCTGCATTCATACGCAATGTTCCTCTCCCATTACCGCTTTTTGAAAATGTGTAGAGTTTTCATGGCTGCAGAGGTTCTTATAATTACTCTGTACTCATTTCTTTATTTTTAAAGGAGGAAGAAAGGTCCACAGAAGGCAGAAGTGTATCTTCAAGGAGCACTGAAAACTTACCTTGCTGAAGGCTGGGCATTGCTTGTCACACACACGAGAAAACAATTAGCTGAATGTCAGAAACACCTTGGGCAAATAGAAAAGTATCCTCTAAAAGGCAAAGCCAGAAGAATGAAGACCAGAGAAAATTATACTTAGGATTAATTTTCTGGCATACCTCTAACTTTTATTTAACAGTAGAGACTGCCAAACATCAGGCAGCTGAGTTATTTCTTGTTTCTGTTGTTGCTGTTCTTTTGGGGAGGGTTGGATTATCTATTTTTTAGTTTTTGTGTTTTTTAACTTAAACCTTTTGCATATGGTTGCTGCTCTCTGTTTTAAATATGGCTTGGCCCTAGAGAGTGGTGCAACATGGATAGTGTGAAGTTTGTGATTAATTCAGCAGATACCATAGAGGCTTTCTATGATTCTGTTTGTACTTATGGAAGTTTTTATGTGGTACTGTTTTTTTTCATTTGGTAAATATGGCATTATAGTGCCTTCCTATATTAAGGAGCTTACCTTCTTGGATTTCTTTCTGTAACTGCTACCACCTTTTTCCTGTATCTGACCTGGCAAGGACTCTTCTACTGTTTGTGATGGTGACTTTTTCCAAAAGTTAAAACAGAGGTTTGGAAGATGAAAGTCTTGTGGCTTTGGTGTGGTGTGTGGTGTTTTAATGTTTTTTGCTATTATTATTATTTTTTTAATTTCTGGCTTTGATCTCTGCTTCAGAAGGGGAGTGGTTGTTGTTTGCTTTTAAGTTGTGCAAAAGCTCAGTCTTCAATGTGTGAATGAAATCTTCTCTGTAAATGCCACAAAAATGCTAAGTAATACTTTGAGAGAATGATTTGGCCCAATCCTAATGTTTGACATCCTTCAAATTCTTCACTTTGATACTCTGCGTTATTCTAAAATACCAACTCTATCCACTGCAACTGTATTTGTTTAAATATTAAATATGTCTGTGTTGCTGTTCTGTTGCTACTTTCAGGATAAGTGGGGGGAAGTCTACTAACTGGCCTTGGGTGTTTTGTTGTATTCTTTTTGGCATGAGAAACAGCATAATTTGAATTCTGCTTTTCGTTTTAGCCTTATATGTTGTTGCCTAAATTTGATGGCTAAATTAAGTAACTTGGTTCTCATCTGAACTATTGTGCTGTGTACAGGATATTACATACTGTAGCAAAATGGACAATTTTCATGATTTTTAGGTGGTTTGGGGGAAGGGTACTGCTCTCGTTGGTGCCATAGTTATAAATTGAATTCTTCTAGGTGTTCCAAACTGGGGTGGTCAGCTGAACACAGTACTTTCTACAGGATAGTTCTTGTGGAAACTGCAAGAAAAGGCATCTTCTTTGAATGGCCCTTCTAGCTTTTTTCCAAAGTTGTTGGGGTTTTTGTTTTTGATTTTTTTTCTTTGCCCAAGAAGCTCATATTTCAGTCTCGTAAGTGACAGTGCTAGGAATCTTACCGTAGCTGAAAATCAGTTGAGCTAAATTTAAATTTGTAGTGCATTTTGGGTTTTGTTATTTTTTGTTGTTTTTTTGTTTTGGTGGTGGTTTTTTTGGTGGTTTGGTTTTTTTTTTTAGAACTAGACTTGGACATTGTAAATGTTTGCCTCCTTTTGAAAATTCTTGCATCTCTTTTAAACAGTCCTAAATTTTTCTGCTTCGGTGCAAATACTCTTAAAGAATCTGAGGCATCAATATTGCAGCTTTAGCTAAATATTTAAATGAGCATTTGTATGCCTAGCACTCAAAAGTATAAAGAATATCTTAGATTTAGTTATGGTAAATGATGCTGTAACAGCTGGGAGACTCTCAGCCAAGTAAATTGGAATATAATCAAAAACTGAAGCTATTTAGTTCTAAATGTTGGGCAGCATAATGCAACACACTGAGTCTTTAAATCTTGCATGCTGCATTTATCTGTTGTCAATGAATTTTCTGTGCTCCCTAATCTTTTTAGATGGGGGAAGATTGAACATGTTCATAATGGATCATATTTTGGTAGGTCTGCAAAAAGTAGAGATTCTGCAATATTCTTAGTTGATAGGAAATCTTCCATTGTTTCTTTTCTAATGGAAGAGTGTGGTGATGACAAAAGCAGGTTAGAAAAGCAGTACTTTTATCTGTCTTATTTTCAGTCAAATTTCTGAATGTTGTAGATTTCTACCTCATGTTTCCTTAACTTTGTTAGTTATCTTCAAACAAGCAGCCTTTTAGCTGGTGATAATCACTTAACAGAAGATGAACGCAAAAGCTTTTGCCAAGAAATACTAGATTTTGCCAATCAGCAAGCAAAGAACCAAGGTAAGTCTGTTTCTTAAATACTTAAAAATGAAGCTGCTCTAATCTGATTTTTCCCTAAAAGTAGCTTTGAAGGCTTTTTCTGGTTGTTTTCATTACCTTGTTTGTAACTTCTGTACCAACATGGTTCTTGTCATCCCCAGAACATTTATAAAACTTCTTCAATAATTAGGAGTAGTCAAAGATGAAAGGGTAATAAAATTAACATTTTCATTCTGCATACCGCAAAGTCTTTGTTTTCCTTCACTTACCTGTTTTGCTGCTTTGACAGCTCGTAATTTATCTTGTGTTGGTTTTTTTCAGTTCCTAGCTTGTCTTTGTCTCTACTGTGCTGGCATGCAGATGGCAGCTCTGTGATGATAGTACTTTGGTTTTGATGTTAGATCTGGTTCCATCGACTTGCAGCTTATTATTTTGATCATCCTAACTCTTATCTTTATTCTTCCTGCTGCTTCAGTAATACCTGGTCCTCGGATATTAATCATAATTCAAATTCATATAGAATACTTCCTGTAGATCTGAAGACTTCATCTTTATGCAAAAGTTGTTCTTGATGAATGGATGTACCATAAGTAATATGTCGTTTTACACTTTTGTAATAGCTTGACCCTGGCCGGACACCAGGTGACCACCAAAGCCTCTCTATCACTCCCCTCCTCAGCTGGACAGGGGAGAGAAAATATAATGACAGGCTTGTGGGTCGATCTAAGGACAGGGAGAGATCACTCACCCATTACCATCATGGGCAAAACAGACTTGACTTGGAAAAAAAAATAATTTATTACCAATCAAATCAGAGTAGGATAATGAGAAATAAAAACTAAACCTTAAAATCACCTTCCCCCCCACCCCTCCCTTCTTCTTGGGCTCAACTTCACTCCTGATTTCTCTACCTCATCCCCAACTGTGCACATGTTGTCTCTGCCGCTCCTTCCTCTTTAGGGGGAAGGCTCTTCACACTCTTCCCCTGCTCCAGCATGGGGGAGGCAGTCCTCTGCAAACTTCTCCAGTGTGAGTCCTTCCCACAGACTGCAGTTCTTTACTAACTGCTCCAATGTGGGTCCCCTCCCCAGGTGCAGTCCTTAGGCACAGACTGCTCCAGCGTGGGTCC